ATTTTGATTCTCACAGATTCATACACATGAGTTTTCCTCTAAAAGAGCATAGATTAATAATTTATTTAAAACGAGACTCTTTAAAATTGGAATTCTTCTCAAAGTTGGTTTCCCAAAAATGGGATTTTGCCCAAAAAATTTCCCAAAATTCCAAATTCTCCCGCATTGATTCCCGCCTGTCCAGTCCAAAATTTTCGCTCCCAAAACTTTTTGGCTCCACAGTCCTAAATTTTGGCCGACCAAATTCTAAAGTTTTGGCTCTCTCTCTCCCGCATTTTTTCCCACTTGCCATTCCCCCCTTCCCTTCCCAGTTGCAGATTAGAGAGTTTATGGATATTGCAGCTATTAAATAATATATCTTTTAGAAGAACAGACTCAAGATTCGGATGCCTTTAGATGATTTGGTTAGACTGACCGGAGTTGTAATTGATGTTCATTATGTTTGAGTTTCATGCTACAATAGTTACTATTTTAAATTATAGGTTAATTAACAATGATCAATGATATTTGAATGCATTTCATGCTATAAGATTACGTCTTTCAATTGTATATTAATATATGAAATTTTATGTATTGTGCCAAAATATCGTGGCAAGTAATTGATAATTAGTCGTAGACTGAGACAAATTGTTAATATCTAAACATGGGAGAACCAACCAAACACCGTGATTAATGATTGGTATCTAGTCATGGGAAATGATTTTGTCACGGTAAATACAGTGCTGAAAGGTGTACATCCCGTATCTAAACGAGTTTTTTTGAGGCAAAATTTGGTATTAGTCACAGGGCTCCCCGTGATTAATAAGAACAAATGTTCACGTGAAATTATACCGTGATTAGTTATAGCTAGTCACGGTACAAGTTTCCCGTGACCTTTACAATTAGACACGGAGATATATATTACGGTAACTTTCCCGTATCTAAAATTATTAAACACAGGAAACACATATCTAAACACGGGATTTCCCGTGAATAAATGATCTTTTTTCTGTAGTGTATTGTTGATTGAGGGTAAAGCTAAGTGTATATGATATATGCTATTGAGTAAGTTATGATTGAAGTCACAATAATTTTACTAAATTTGATAGCTAATCTTTAATGGTTCAATTTTTAGGATAATTCGAACAATTTTACAAATAACTCGTTTGGCAACAGTTTACTAAAGTTATTTGGGCAATGAGTTATTTTGAAATAACTCATTTTATCACTATGCTTTTTCAAAATACCACACGCCAAATACCAGATTTGCATGGTTATACTAAACGAGATACTTTAATCCAATTACTGCTGAATTAATACTAATATATCAAATAAACAATTAACTGTGTCTTTTGGTTGCAAATATTGATATCACCATTACTATTAGTTATAATACTTTACCAATTATGATTAATTACATAACAAGTTTGCAAGTCATACAAATTGATTTAACATTTTGACTAGTTTTTTTCAAAAAAATAAAGTATATATATACGAGGTAGAAATAAATTGGTTAAAAAGTTGAGAAAATATTTTAAATTAGTGTAATAAAATGTGTAAGTTGGTAATGAGTAATGAGTTAAGTTACTTGATGCGCTGGCCCGAACAACTCGAAACCCGACCCACCCAACCCAAAACCCGATGAACCCGCAACCCGATTTGCCCGCAACCCGATTGAATCCGAACCCGATGAACCCGCAACCCGACTAACCCGCAACCGATGAACCCGAACCCGATGAACCCGCAACCCGACTAACCCGCAACCCGTTCCAGCCCGAACAGGATTGAACCCAGCCCGAACCTGCCTGAACCCGCCCGATTGACACCTATACTCTCACACCCTGACTCATCCAAAGGCGGCTCAGGGTGGTTTTGGCTAAGCATGGGTTGGTTGAGTTCATGCTTCCTAGTGAAGAGGCACAGATCTGGGTGCTTAAACGTATCCCATGGGTCCTCAATGATCAAATCGTCCACCTCCGTTCGTGGACCCCGGTGATTACCAAACAAGTTTTTTGATGATCTTGCAGTTGTCCCATTCCGGGTTCAATTGTGGGACGTGAAAGAAGAAGGTTGCACACAACAATTCGGGAGAAAAATGGTGAACTCTACTATCGGCAAAGTGCTCGAATCGAGTCTTTTTGCCTGTAAAGATACTGGGCGTTGGTTTGTGAAAGTCAAGGCATTAATCGATTTTTCGAAACCACTTCGCTCCCAGATTATGGCTACGAATGATGATACGGGCTCCTTTTGGGTTAGCCATCTGATGCGTGCTTGTACGTTTGACCCGCCAACTCGTAAGTAAAAGTTTGGCTCCCACATGTCCACTCGCCAGCTGGGTACCCGGATCTATGACACTGATGATACAAACCTGCCTTCTTCGAGGGGTGGGAACTCGGTTTGGGTGAACAAATCTCTCAAGGAGCAGAGAGAGCGCTGATGGGAATGGTGTGGCACTTACTGGGGAGACACACGTGCCACCATACCATGTGAAGGCTCGACATCAACCTGTCCAGCCGCGGAGAGCAACTGTTGAGGCGCCTGCTGGAGTACAACGCCGCCAAAGCCCGCGGGGGTTCAAGATGGAAAAATCTCCGAAGATGCAGCTAAGACGAGTGGAGCGCCCTCCTCGTGTATTGAATCAGCAAGCTGGCAAGGGGAACATTCCCATGCGCCATACCGATAACAGGAGGTGGGAGGGTGGGAGAAGGCACGATATTATCACCCGGTCTCCTTCACAAGAGATGGGGGCGTCTGAATCGCCGGAGCTTCTCTCCGACGGGGCTGCTGATCATGCGCCTGCGGAGGAAAAAAGCGCAAAACTTGGTCCTGTTGAATTTCGGCGTCGACGGCTCATCTTGGAGGAATCTAACGATGATGACCAGCCGCCCCTGGTACACGATGCTCCTGTCATAGCAAGTGAGGGGAAAACAAAGGGTCGTCGCCTAGTGAAGCTGGGGGAGAAGAAAATGGCGGCGGAGACCTCCAAGGCGCGATCTGCTCCCCGCCAAGTCCGGCCAAAATCGGGTGCTAGGTTGAACCGACCCAAAAAGCTAGGGGCTGACCCGGCCCAGGGTGGTTGGAGTCGCACCTGAAAGAAAAAAGGCAGCCATAAGGGGACTATTACCCAGACTGAACTTGGAGGAGAGGAAAGTACTCTGATTTGCCCTGTATCTGAGAAAGGCAAATTGGTTGTGGATGACGTGAAGGCTCCAGTGGTTTCTGATGGCTCTCAGTCTGATGAGGATGAGCTCCGTTTTTTATTCAAAGTAGGGGCTCGCCTGGTGCTCAGATTCAATCAGGGCAGGTGAAACAGGTGGTAGCTGCTTTTGAGACGAATCTGGTCATCAATGAGAATAATGAATACTCGGAGCCTGCAGAAGGGGAAATGATTTTGAAGCTGAATGAATATGGTTCTAATCTTAAGGATGAGACTCGTAAACGGCCTCTCCAAGATTTAGCGGGGGGTTTTGCGGATAGCCGAACCCCGAAGAGGCAATTTGTGGAGGAGAATGCAGCAGTTGGAAATGGTGGAGGAAGCCAGCCAAGAGTAGCCCCAAGCAGATAAATGAGGCTTCTGGCCTGGAATGTGAGAGAGATTGGGCCATCCCTAACATTCCAAACAGCTTTTAGTTTAGTTTGTTCCAATAAACCGGAGCTTGTGTTCTTTTCAGAAACAAGATCGTCCAGGCGCGTAGTTTCCCGTCGTTTGAGGGGGTTGGGGTTTGAGTCGGCTCATTGTTTTTTTATTGATGCTTTAAATGCATCTGGTGGTCTTGTATGGCTTGGTCCCCCGAAGTTGATACTTCAGTGTTTTATCATTCGAGTTTTTGTATTGGTTCTAGAATTAATGAAAATGGTTCTTCGTATGTGGTGCTCTGTGTTTACCTAAGCTACAATATCGCTTTGCGGGCGGCACAACTGGTGCATATCCGTGAGATTTGTGAAGGACTTCAGGTCCCCTTTGTGATAATTGGTGATCTTAATGTGACCCTTAATGAAGGAGAGAAGGACGGTGGGAATCCTTTGAATGCTTCTCAAGCTCTAGACCATCGTAATCTGGTCTAAGACCTTGGGTTGCACGGCCCAGGTTACCAGGTTGACCCTTTTACTTGGACAAACAAACGTATGGGGGTGTCTTGTATTCGGGAAAGGCTGGATAGGGCTCTGTGCTTACAACGTTGCATGGATCGCTTTCCGGATACTCTAGTGAAACACTTCACTGACCAAGGATCTGAACATCAGGCTCTACTTCTGTCAGATAAACCCTATGTCCATATGTGTCGCCCCCTATTTCGATTTGATGCTAGCTGGGCAGAGAACCCATAAGTCAAGGCTATGGTAGCATACGTTTGGCTAGAAAAAATTCAGGGTACTCCGATGTTTCAGCTGTGGGAAAGGATGAAAAAGCTCCGGCATTTGCTCTACGATTGGAGCCGAGCGGGTACCACAAATTCCCTGCGCAATATCCATACCTTGCAAAATGAAATTTTCAGGATAAAAGCTGTTCATCCGATTAATTGGCAGGAAGTGACAAATTTAGAAACGGAATTGAACAGGAAGTGGGAGGCCGAGGAGCAGTACTGGCAACAGAAATCGCGGGTCCATTGACTGAAAAGAGGGGGAAAAAATACATCCTACTTTCACATGGTCACGCGTACCCGGCGAAAAAGAAATTTTGTCGCAGGACTGTTTAATGACAATGGGGAGTGGGTCACAGAGGAAAAGGGGAAGGCGGACGTTGCGACCAACTTCTATCAAAACCTCTTCACCTCGGAATCTCAGATTCATGATATGAATGAGCGGGTGGCTGACCTTCCCATTGCTTCCAATGTGTATCCAGAAATGAATGCTACCCTAACCGCTGAGGTGTGTCTTGATGAGATCCGCTAACGGTCTTTGCAATGGGCTCAAAACAGGCACACGGCTCAGATGGTTTCACGGAAAAATTCTTTAAAGCCTACTGGGGGATTGTGGGAGACTTAGTGGTGGCTGCGGTTGGCTCCTTCTTTGCTACGAGCAGGATGCTCCGAAGTTTCAATCACACCTGGTTGACATTAATCCCAAAAGTGGACCAGGTGGAGTCCATGCGTCAACTTCGGCCTATCAGTTTATGCCAGTTCATATATAAGGTGATCTCCAAGATTATGGCGGAACAGCTTGCTGGGATTTTGCCTATCATTGTCTCGGACGGCCAAAATGCCTTTATCAGGGAAAGACAGATTGTGGATAATATCCTGATTGGCCATGAATTAATGCACTATTTGAAAATCAAAACCCGGGGTAAAAAGGGGTACATGGCTCTGAAGGTTGATATGGAAAAGGCATATGATAGAGTTGACTGGTCCTTTCTTTTTGCGGTTTTGGAGAAAATAGGGTTTAATTCGGTCTGGCGTGGGTGGATTCTTGAATGCTTGATGTCAACAACGTTCTCGGTCCTCATGAATGGATATCCGGCTGGTTTCTTTGCGCCCTCTAGGGGACTCCGACAGGAGGATCCCCTTTCTCCCCATCTCTTTGTGCTGTGCACGGAGGGCTTTGCTGCGTTGCTTCGTAAATCCATCTTAGAAAAGAGGCTGGAAGGAGTGAAGGTGGCCCCGCGGACTCCCCTCATATCTCATTTGTTCTTTGATGATGACTCTTACTTATTTCTCCGTGGGTCCCTCCAGGAGTTTGAGAATTTGATAGAAGTTCTTAATGAGTATGAGGAGCTTAGTGGCAGAGGGTAAATTTGGAGAAATCGGCTGTTTGCTTCAGTAAGAATGTCTCTTTACCAGATCAGGAGTTCTTGACGGCAATCCTTGGCGTAGTTGCTGTAGGGGTACAGGATAAATACCTTGGTCTACCCACTTTGATTGCTCGTTCCAAGACGACCACTTTTCGCTACCTAGAGGAGAAGCTTTTAGAACGTTTTGCAGGGATGGAAACACATGACTTTATTGTGGGCAGCTAAGGAAACTCTGATTAAATCTGTCGCCTTAGCTCTACCGCTCCATGTGATGTCTTGCTTTCGCCTGCCGTTATCGCTTTGTCGCCTGCTGGACGAGCATGTGGCCAGATTCTGGTGGGGTTTTGAGGATGGTCGCTCCAAGATTCGGTGGGTCTCATGGAGAAATTTGTGTAGAAGTAAGCATGAGGGGGGATGGGTTTTCGCCGGTTCGAACAGTTTAATCAAGCGTTGTTGGCTAAGATAGGATGGCGTATTCTGAATGAACCCCAATCCCTCTTAGCCCAGGTATATAAATGGAAGTATTTCCCGCAGGGATCCTTTCTGTCGGCTATGGCACGGTCCCTCCCATCATGGGGATGGAAAAGTATTCTCTTTGGTCGGCAGTTATTGACCAAGGGTTTGCGGTGGTAGATTGAGAATGGACAAAAGGCTCCTTTGCTCAAATCAAACTGGATCCCGACTCAACTTCCTTCTTATCCTATGTATAACCCTCGGGTTTTTGCCGGATGATGGGGAAATGACGGTCTCGGCTGACCTCTGTCCCGGGGAAGGGCGTTGGTGCGAAGATAAGCTGAGTCAGTGGTTTGACCCTCTGACTTGCCAGGCTATTAAGGCGATGCCCCTGCCACAGCAGAATATCGAGGATCGATTAATCTGGCATGCCACGGAGGATGGAATTTTTATTGTCAAATCGGCTTATCATTTGGCGGTTTGTCTTGACCAGCAGAGTGGGAGATGGCGGGCGCAGGTTAGTTGGATGGACAAGCGGAGTTGGATCCGGGTTTGGGAAGCAAATATTCCTCCGAAACTGAAGGTGTTTGTCTGGCCAATCTTGACCAGAATTTTACCAACGACTGAGGCTCTTATAGAAAAGAACGTGGAGGTCCTGCCCCGATGTCCTGTTTGCTGGGATTCAAAGGAGACAATGGAGCACTTGTTCTTTGTTTGCCCTGTGACTAGGGCTCTATGGTCGTAGGCGGGGTTTGATTCTCTTGGAGAGGGATTGCCCCGTAATACATTCCCCCTCTTCCTCAAGAAATTGCTGGTTATCTTACATCAACCTTCGCAGTTCATGGCGGTAATTGCTATCCTGTGGCGAATTCAGAGATCCCGAAATTGGGTGGTCTTTGAAGGAAAACAATTCAGGATTCCGGCAATATTGAGGCAGTATAACCAACAAGTATGGGAGTGGCTCAGCCTGCCTAGGGACCCTCAGTCTCCCTCTTCTCATCTGCCTGATCGTCCTACTGTGGTAGTGAGCGGGTCAGGGGGACATGTGTGTCGTTGGGATGGGGCTGTTCGACGAGGATCGCATTCTGCAGGTGGTATGGTACTTCTCAATGATGTAGGGACGCCGCTTTGGGCTGCGGGGGTTCAGTTTCCCTACCTGGATGATCCAATGGTGGTGGAGCTACTTACGCATAGGGAAGCTGTCCGTTGGTGTTTAGCGCACGGGTTTCTGGTCATGCGGTTTGAAGGGGATGCCAAGGTGGTCATTGATAAGATCTGTAGGGCTGATGTGCACGACAGTCGGGTAGGGGCTATTTTGGAGGAAATGATTCAGATTTTCTGGGAAAATCCGGGCTTTACTGTGCGATTTTTAGGTCGGGGTGACAATAGGGTATCTCATATGGTAGCAAGACAGTCCCTTTCTTTGTTCCCGACTATCTGTCGTTATTTTGATTTCCAGACCTGGCTGGCTTCGAGGATGGAACTATCTATTTGTTTCTATCAATATTCGATTATCTTTTGTCAAAAAAAAAAAAACAAGATAAGTAGATAGATTTTCAATACGAAGGCTCTAGATATTGATAGAGAATTAATAACTAAATCTACATCCTTTCATCCTTTATTTGGAAAATTCAGATTTAAAAATGGAGAATTAAATGCTATTTTTATTTTTCCTAACTTTCTTAATCGGCTCATATCTTCTTCGTTTTAATTCGGATTTTAATTTTTGCACTGATGGAACGAGTTCGTTTTGCTCTACAAAATGAGATACATTTTCAATATTTTTTTAGAACTTTTTTTTTACCTCTCGGTACCAACTTCATACCATATGGTATCCTCTTCGTTTTTAATTCGTTTTTGAAAACATTTGCACAGAAGGAATGAGTTCATCATTATCTATTGGATCTACAAATTTCTGGGTTGGGCCGTGAGCAATTTGCCTATCTTTCCTTCAAGCTTGGCTTTCATGATATTCATACATCAGCTTGAGGGGGAGTGTTGCGTGGCAATTAGGCAAATTAGTTGGTTGTTCTTAATTTTCATGCTCGTGATGATGCAATTCTCGGGCAGTCTTTTGATGTTGATGGATGTGGGCGGCATAAGTCTACGCACTGTGGGAAAACAGATCATCTTAAGGACCGATGTTTTGATCTCATTGGATGGCCTGAACGTCATGCCTCTCAATCGGAAGGTGCTTGTCGCAAGAAGGGTAATGATCGCCCCAAGCACATTCCGAAGGCGGTGGCTGTCGAGGTTGGTGAGAGTCCGGTTACTGGTTTAAGCATGGCGCTGCTGACGCAACTCAAGGAATTTCTCGCAAGATCAGCTTTTTCACCTAAAGCATCGGCTACCAAACTCATGGGTAAATCTTTTCATCCTACTACATAAATTCTGGACTCGGGTTGTAATGAGCATATTGTCCATGATGTTAGTCTTCTGTTTAATGGTTTCATGCCATCGGAATTACGAGTGAGAATTCCAAATGGCAAATCTGTTGACGTTGAGTAGGTTGGGTAAGTTCAGCTGAGTAACAGGATGGTTATCTCTCGTGTTTTGTTAGTTCCCGAGTTCAAATGCAACCTTTTGTTCATCATCAGGTTAACTGAGTATCCCATTGCTAGTATATTCTTGCATGATTTCTGTATCGTGCAGGAATCGCGTTGCAAGAAGATGATTGGGATTGGCCATCAACATGATGGATTGTATTTCTTCGCCTCTTTGATGAAGTGAAGGACCTGGCTGCATACACTACTATAAGAGATGGGAGCTCATATGCTCGCTTGTGGCACTTCAGGCAGGGTCACCCATCTTTCGACAAGCTGTCTTTGTTACCTTTTTTTCCAGTTTTAGACAGTTACATCCGGTTCATGCTCCTCTTGTTTACGAGCTAAACAGACTCGCAGTCCTTTTTCGTTGAGTTTCATTAAGACTACTCATCCGTTTGAGTTGATTCACGTTGATATTTGGGGTGGATATAAAGATCCATCACTGAGTGGTGCTCATTATTTCCTTACTATGGTTGATGATTTTTCTCGAGCGGTATGGGTGTTCCTTCTTCAGTATAAGTCAAAAGTTGCTGGTTATTTGATGATGTTTTGTCAACAGGCTCAACGCCAATATGGTCATTCCGTGGTTTGTATCTAGGCAGATAATTGTATGGAGTGCCAAACTAATATCTTACGTACCTATTACGCAAGTGAAGCCATCATCCTACAGATGTCATGCACTAATACGTCACAACAAAATGGTGTTGTGGAGCGTAAGGATCGACATTTATTAGAATTTGCTCGTTCCCTTCGGTTCCATGCTCATTTACCCATCAAGTTTTGGGGAGAATGTGTCCTAACTGCAACATATCTAATTAATCGACTTTCTTCCTCTGTGACCGGTAATGACACTCCTTTTGAGAGTCTCTTTAGCAAGAAACCGACTTATGCTCATCTTCGTACATTTGGTTGTTTGGTCTATGCCAAGGACACACACTCTTCTCTTGACAAGTTCGTGGAACGAGGACGACCATGTATTTTTGTTGGTTACCCAGCTAACCAAAATGGGTATCGGGTTTTTAGTTTGGATGACCAGACTGTGTTTACATCACGTGATGTAGTGTTTTGTGAAGAGCATTTTCTTTACCAGTCGTTCTCCACCCGTAGTTCCTCGTCTGTACCTCCCGCTGTTCCAAAATTCGCGATTGATGATCATTCTCCTTACCCTGGCGATGATCATGATGACGCTTCTGTTTCTAGTGTGCATGAAGACATAACTTTTGAGGTCTCTTCTCCCACTTCGAACCCTGATCCCGGGTCCACTTTACTCACTCCTATGTCGTCACCAGCTTCGTCATTTCCTGATACGTCATCTCCGAATTAGTCATCCCCGGATTCGTCCCTATCGCTAGTCGTTGAACTCAATCGTCGGGATCCTCATCGTCAGTTGCCTCGTTGGTTTGATATCTACGAGGTCACATTACCTACTACCCATTCTTGTGTGAAATATCCTATGGATAATGTTTTTAGTTATGACCGTTTGTCACCAGGCTATCATGCTTTTGTTTCAGCAATCACACGCATGGAGGAGCCTCGCACATTTGCGAAGCGATTCTGCATGCTTGCTGGCGCAACGCCATGCAACGTGAATTTGACTCTCTTTGCATATGGGACATTGGAGCTGTGTTCTCTTCCGCCCGGGAAACAGATCGTGGATTGCAAGTGAGTTTTTAAGATCAAATACCGGCCTGATGGTAGTATTGAACGGTTTAAGGCCCATCTCGTCGCCAAGGGGTACACACAGCAAGAAGGTGTTGATTTCCACGACACCTACGCCTCAGTTGCGAAATTAGTTTCAGTTCGTTGCGTGTTGGCACTTGCGGCTCAACATGGTTGGTTTTTGCAGCAATTGGACGTCAATAACGCGTTTCTCCATGGCGATCTTGACGAAGAAGTTTATATGCGCGTTCCGGAAGGGTTTGCTCGACTGGGGGAAGCGCAGGTATGTCGTCTTCGCAAATCACTTTATGGATTATGTCAAGCGCCGCGCAACTGGTACAAAAAGTTCACGTTGGCTCTCTTACAGTTCATTTTTAGTTGTTCACGAGCAGATCAATCACTATTCACATATCGGAAGAATGGGGTGTTTGTATTTGCTCTCATATATGTGGATGATATTGTTCTAGGGAGAGATAGTTTGGAAGTCATTGAAATGGTGAAGACTTTTATGCAACGGGAATTCAGTGTCTAAGATTTAGGGCCATTGAAGTATTTTTTGGGGATAGAAGTGGCACGGTCGCGTCATGGGATCTCATTATCTCAACATAAGTACGTGTTAGATATCCTGAATGATGGTGGTGCTCTTGGAGTAAAGTCGCGCTCTTTCCCTATTGAACAAAATCAACACATCCCCCGTGTTGAGGGTCCGGCAGCATATGATCCTTTAGCATATCGCAGGTTAGTCGGGAGGCTCTTGTATTTGACAGTAACACGACCTGATATCACATATGCAATTAACATATTGAGCTAGGCAAAGCATTCACCTAGACATCAGCATGTGGGAGCAACATATTGTGTTTTACGATATTTTAAGCATGCTCCTGGGCGTGGTTTGTTCTTTTCTTCAAAAGTTGACTTGAGTCTAACAGCGTATTGCGATGCATACTGGGGAGGATGTGAAGAAACACATCGTTCGATGCTGGATATTTCATTCAACTAGGTCAAAGTCATGTGTCGTGGAGTTGGAAGAAATAGTCAGTAGTGGCAAGGTCCTCGGCCGAAGCTGAGTACAGGTTGATGGCTGTCACAGTTAGTGAATTGATATGGTTACGTTGGTTGCTACTGGAGTTAGGTGTGATGGGTGTCCCACTCCGTTATACTGTGACAACCAAACAGCTCTGTACATTGTTGCGAATCCAGTCTTTCATGAGCGCACAAAACATGTTGAAATGGATTGCCATTTTGTCAGAGAACGAGTGGCTGCAATGGAGATTGATCCCAAGAAGATCTCCACTAGTGATCAAGTGGCGGATGTGTTCACCAAAGGGTTAGGCTGTGAGCAATTCGCCTATCTTGCCTCCAAACTTGGCTTTCATGATATTCATACTTCAGCTTGAGGGGAATGTTGCGTGACAATTAGGCAAATTAGTTGGTTGTCCTTAATTTTCACCAACAGTTATACGTGGTAGTCAATTATAATTGACCAAGTTGTTATAACCCTAGTCGATCATAGTGTGTATGGTTAATAGCCTATATATATGGCTTGCATGCTACTGTAACGTGGTATAGTTGTGAGTCTAATAAAATTTTAGCCGATAACTCTTGTGAGCTCTCCATGAATTAGTCTCGTTCATATCGAACGAGGATACCACGTAAATCGTCCGTGTTATCTTACTTCCGCACTTAGTTTTCTTCAATGTACTAGCCGACCAGCCGTTTTCCTGACCTACCCCGTCAGCATTTTTATGGGTAAGGAGGTGAACTACTCTTTCCAAACAAAGAAAAACAGACAGGAGGTGAACTACTTATACTTTTTTCTCAACTATACGAATAATTTGACTGCTTATATATAAAATCCCCACCTCCGATACCTTTTCCTCCATCACTTGAAACCAACAAAACCCAAACAAAACAACCCTCCGAAATCTCCTCCAACAAGTTAAATCAGAATCATGGCTTCTTCTTCCAAATTCTTCCTCGTTGCTCTCGTCCTCGCCGTCACATTGTGCAACATGGGAAATGGAATGGCGGCACGACAGCTCCTCCAGCTGCCCAAACCCGGCGCATTGCCTCCTATGCCCACCATCCCATCTCTGCCTCAGCCCACCCTGCCGCTACCAAATCTGCCGTCCGGAGGAGGATTACCACCGCTCCCCAGCGCCGGCGCCGCCATGCCCACCATCCCATCTCTGCCAACCGGAGGAGCATTGCCACCACTTCCCAGCGCCGGCGCCATGCCCACCCTGCCGTCCGGAGGAGGATTGCCGCCACTCCCCAGCGCCGGTGCCATTCCCGCCATGCCCACCATTCCTTCCATGCCAAAGGTTTCTCTGCCGCCGCTGCCTAGCGGTTTTCCTACCATTCCTTCCATCCCCGGCCTTACCCCGGCAGGCCCTGGCAACTGATCAGTGAAGTAGTACACGAAGTTGGTGGATGTCTTGCGATTTCTTGTGTAGAGGGCTCATTGTTTGTTTTTTGTGGTCTGGTTGTTGTTTGAGTTTCTTGGCTTGTATATTTTTGTTCACACTATTGTATGCATCACTTGTATCATTTGTCTGTTTCATTATGCTACTTTTGAGTTTCCAGCACTTCATTATATATGTTACTTCTACATATGATTTTCATTGCATTTCTCATTTATGGTAATGTGACAAGATAAGTAGATAGATTGTCAATACAAGCCATACTCGAAGCGTTGAAACTGGTAGCTGACGCAACACGACCTCAATTAAAATGATGGTCAAAAGTACTAATTATTAATCAATGATGGTCAAAAGTACTAATTATTAACCACGTTAAATCAATGATGGTCAAAAGTACTAATTATTAACCATGTTTTTTGGAATCCTGTTGTCGGTCACCGCAATATACTATTTGTGGTCGGAATCCTCCCACCTTGATCGGAATATGCTAACCATCACTGGAATATGCTAACCATCGCCGAAATATGTCGTGGTCAGAATATGCTTACCGGCGCCATAATCTGGTCATCGGCACCGAAATATACTTATCGGCATCGGAATCCCGTCACCGACGATGATCTGAGTCTGGTCAACAGTCTTCGTTGACTGGTCAACGGTCAACCATCATCGGATGTTATGGTTTGCATTGTAAGAATTATGCTTTGGTTTCTCACGTTTTTGTTATGCCTTTTGTGGTTTGCTTTATAGTGTTTCTGGTTTGCATTAAGAAGTTTCTGATGTGCTTTTGAAAATTTTGTGGTTTGCTTTGTGGGGTTTCTGGTTTGTTTTAATATATTTGTGGCCTGAATTAGGACGTTTCTAATATTCTTTTTGTGGTTTGCTTTACATGTTTGTGGTTTGCATTACGAGGTTTGTGGTGTGCTTTAGAAATATTTGTGGTTTGCTTTGTGGGGGTTCTGGTATGTTTTAGGAGATTTGTGGTTTGCATTAGGAGGTTTCTGGTATGCTTTTTGTGATTTGCTCTACGGTGTTTATGGTTTGCATTATGAGGTTGCTGGTGTCCATAAAAAATATTTGTGGTATACTTTATGGAGTTTTTGGTATATTTTAGGCGATTTATGGGCTGGATTAGGAGATTTTTGGTGTGTTTTGAAAATATTTTTGGTATGCTTTATAGATTTTCTAGTATGCTTCAGAAATATTGTGCTTTGCATTAGGATATTATTGGTGTGCTTTCGAGTGAACTTGAGACGACTAATGAAACTTGTCAAAATATGGCAACACTTTCAATTGGCGGTGTTCTCAGGAAAGTATGGACGAGGAGCAACTTAATAGCTACATAGAGTACCACAAAACAAATTAATCTACTGTAGTAACATGATTGCCAACATAGAGGAAACGCAATCGAAGACATCAACAACAGATTTTCCTTCAGGGAAACGGAAGAAGAATCTCCCAAACCTCTCCCTAGCCTCTTTTATGACCTTCATCCTCTCCGCCACAGGGAAATTTCCGAAATCCTGTTCACGAACCTAACACTCTTCTCTATCCCAGATGATTCACTTCCTATCGAAGGCTTTGCCGATCTCACGTAGAATTACACTCGCCAAGTATTTTTTGAATCTCCAATCGGAGGAGATCAGGTCCTGCAAGCTGCAACCGGGCACCTGTCTCTTGTGCCTGAACCCGACCCAATTCGGTGAGCGGGATCTTGTGGTCCGGTATGTGGCTGTAGGCCGCAGTATCCAAGTTTCCATGAGACTTGCCGTGTTGGGCAAGGATTATCCGCTTCAACAAGTGGATGTGGTGGTGACGGTCATCATCACCTCTCTAATTAATATCCACTATTTTCTTTCCACGCTCTCGTCGCAGTCTTCGGGTTTTTTCGTAAGTGAATTGCTTTTTTTTTTTTTTTTTGTTTAGCAACTATCGTCGATTTGTGCGGAGGAGAGAGTACGGGAGAGAAGCAGCCGACGACGATCTTGCCGATGCGGAGGAGAGTGTACGGCAGAAAGGCAGCCGACGGGGTTATGGGAGGAGGACAAGGAGATCGAGAGACGAAGAGAGGGAAGCTGGTGGTGGAATCTTTATGAAGGTTGCTAATTGTCGCCCTAATTTTATATAATCGTCCTAATTTAGAAACTAAAGTTCCTTTTTTATCCTTTTATATTTTATTGCTTATATTTGTATAATCGCCCTAGGCCTTCTCTCTCGCCGATTACCAAAATACATTCAGCAGCACTCAGGCCTTAACAGCTTCCCCATCCCTTCGGAATTGGATTAAACAATCAGCAGTCTGGGTAAGGCCATGGTACTTAGTAAAAGGCGGGACATGAGAATTTAATGTTAGTGAAGTTGTAAGGAACTAACTACCCAATAATGGCGGTTCAATGGTTTTTAAGCCTGAAGCTCCACCGGCGGTGGCCAGATTGAAAGAGAGCGATGTGGTGGCGGAATGGGATCGATGGAATTAGGGGTGGCTCACGATTGATTAACGTTTCAGAGCCCTAATCTTATTAATTTTAGTGTTCGACTTTTCTGATTGAGTTGTGTACATTTGAAACTTGAAACTATTGCGGGGAGAAGAAGTTTCGGTGGTGAATTCGAGAGAAGGGTGTAAAGGACTGCGGGGGAGATGAACGGCGGCAAATTGCAAGAGAATGGCGGCGGAGGGTAATTGGAGAGGTGGTGGACGACGGTATTGGAGGAATAGATATTTTAAGATTTGTTTATTTATTATTTGGTTTGATTAATAAAAGGATAATTTAGTAATTCTACATTTAAAGTTAGGGCGATAATAGTAAAATTAGGGCGACGTTTCAGCGATCCGCGCCCCGCCCCTTCACCGTGGTCGTCTGATGCGGGGAGGCACGGATTATGATTTTCCTTACCAGATCCGACGCCTCCGAAACCTTGGCGTCAGCGATCACGCCCCATCACCGTGTTAGAGGAAGGTGGGCTCTTCCATGCCTTACACAACGAGAAAGAATGCTCTTGTTTCCCCAACGCGGAGCCTTACCCCTATAAATACAGCTGCCCCTTCCCCTTCCAAACCACACCACACCACATATTATTCTCTCCCTCCATCCTCACTCTAGTTTCGTTCTAAGTTTGCTCTGTGGTTGTGGCTAAGTTTGATCTTCCGCATCAAACTGAATTCCTAGAGTTATTTCCTACAGCCCCGCCCCTCGAAAAATCCGTCGAACCTCTGCCCGACTTTCGCAAAAAAATAGACGAAGAGGCTCTTAGGTACGTACTTGTTTTCGCTTTTATGATATTTTTGTACGCTAAATAATCTGAATTCAATAAAAAAATTATAGATGGGTGCCGAGATATACGACCCTCGATTGTATATCGATCATGGGCAAGGGATACGAGGTATTTATCCGACCAATAACATCATCGCTCCCGTGCAAATTGGCACAACAATCAGGTAAACACTTCGTACCTATATATTTGTAAATGATTTATTTCATGCATAGTTTTATTTAATCTAGATTTATTTCATGCTTCGCTTTATTTAATGTAAATTTATTTGTTACTTATTTTATTTAATTAGATTTATTTCAAGCTTATTTATTTGATTTAGATTTATTTCACACTTAGTTTTATTTAATTTAGACTTATTTCACGCTTAGTATTTCATTTTAATTTATTTCATGCTTAGTTTTAATTAATTCATATTTATTTCATGTTTTGCTTTATTTAATGTAGATTAAATTCACGCATAGTTTATTTAATTTAGATTTATTTCATGCTTAGTTTGAGTTAATTTATATTTATATCACGCTTAGTTTTATTTAATTTAGTATGTTGGTTTCCTTTGACTAACATCTTTTGTGTTTGGGGGTGTTTTTTTTTTAGAATCACTTGTTCCCGACATTCCTAGAGGGACAACACGCTTGCCTTCTTGGCATCCTCGACTCTTGCTGTATCTTGAGAGGACGGGTTTGGATATGGTGAGGGATTTCATGCGTATTGAGATCGACAACAATCTGTTGACGCCTGACGACAATGCCAGAGCAATGGTGCCCCGAGGTACAAACGTTCCATTTTCCCCAGGGGGAAATGAATGTCACCCTTGTATACTTCATTTATACTTTCGCCATGGCTGGTAGTTTAAATGCCGAATCTAGCCCCATTGTCCATATGGAAGGTCCACATGTGCAAATCTTGACCTTCAGCCCATACTGCCTGGACCCGATGTACCTAACCGATCGTCTTCATCTTCTGCTCGTATTTTTTGGGTTGGTGTGCAACCGTTTCAAGGTGAAAAAATAACTAACTGATACATGAGAAATTAAATACGAACAACGAGTAATTAACCCGCACAATAGTACATCAAGTACATGCATTCCACAATTGATCTCTTATGTCTTTCTTCCCAAATTTGTGCTGGAAATTGGCTAGAAATCGTCGAAAACACCATCGCCTTATCCATCCACATTCACCGGGAAAACTACCCGCGGCGTTCCTAATTCCAGCATATCGATCAGATATAGTCGTAATACCCTGCCGCTGTGTGACGTGCCTGTGTAGTTGGTCAAATAACTATGCCCAACTTTACGTTGTTCTCCCCTTCCACTAATGCAAATGCCAGAGGGAAAATCCATAAATTTCCATCAACGCCAGTTGCAATGAGAATAGTTCCTCTGTACTTCGCAGTAAGGGAAGTTCCGTCAACTAGTTAAAAATAATTTTAATTAGTATAAATTTTACCTAGTTTAAAAATGAACTAGAATAACAGTAATTAGTATGAAATATAGCCGGATCACGGGAATGCAGGAGGCAAACCCATCAATGCAAGGCTTGAATGCCCAAAATAGACGGTGAAACATCAACTCATTCTATACTCGAACTTGATCTTCAGTTTGTACATTGTTGTACAACGACACGAAAACAGTGCCAGGGTTGGACTCCTCCATTTGCGGCGATTAGTTTAGGGAGTAAAGCCTATGAATCGTCCCAATCACCATACACCTCAGCCATGGCCTTCTTCTTTCCATGACATGCCGTTTTGTACCTGATCGTGTACGTATGTCGATCCTTCACCTAGGCCATGATAGCTTTGATCTCGATATCTAGTTTGGCCTCAATCAAATGCTTGATGGTTCTCCCCACTTTTTTTTGCTTTCAATTGACGGTGATCTTGTGAAAGTATGGACGAGGAGCAGCTGTGGTTGTTCTCTGCTTTTCGAATGACCCAGGCACCCTTTCGCTTCATATTTGCAGCCCGCAGTTTCCACGTACAGGTCTTTTCAGCATTCTTGCATATGACATGCACTTGTTTACCGTCAAAATATTTTAACTTCTACTGGAAATTGCGCCGCATGGCTTCTTTGCTAAAAGCATCTTGAACAGCGTCTTTCAAAGTGAACGCCATACCCACCTCTAAATTGGCTGTCAGATTATACACTGACATAGAGAAAAAGTCAGGGGCATCGTTCTGAACATATAAAAAGTGAGAGGGAAACTTTGTGTAGTATAGCGTTGGTGGCTCACGGAATGTCACCTCGTCGTCATCGATATTGTCTGTATCTTCCTCCTGCCAACTGATATAAAGTCTTCCTCACTTTCCTTGTCGGTGGAGCCAAATGGATAGCTCGGGCCAGGAGCATCATCGTGACTAGCACCACCAACAACGTCTTCTCGCTCATGCGAAGTACGGCCATATCGAATGGTGTTTTCTATGTTGGCCCACTCTGGCCCCCAAGCAGGCCCTTGAACGTCGTCGTTCTCAATGAATGGGGCAGGCTCAACACGTTGCGGGTATTCTTGCCATGGCACCCCTCCTGCATAACTACCTCCGTCGTAGTTGTTTGAACTACCACCCATCCGTACCCTCCTACAAAACTATCATCATAAGAATACTAGTGAGACTGAGTTTCACCGACCGACTCGGTCTCAACATACACCTTTGCAAGCAGCATTCCGTTGTCAGCTAGGAACTGTAACATCATGGTAATGGTGTTATCATCATTTATGACAACTTCTTGGTACATAACCCCGACATCACTCATGTCCGGATACCAGTAAGTAATTTGACCAACTCTCATTTGTCCGCCCATACAAATCCTGTATGCCAAAATGTCACGAAGTTCTTGCCATGTGAAGCTCGACTCAATTTTCAACATAGTGGTTTCACCATCTTCAAAATCTATCCAAATGTCAGAGTTTCTCACATGACCATTCCACCAAATAAGAAGCTGAAACTTCTTGAATTTGCCCATATATGCAATTTATAATAAGTAACTATTAGCTTAAGGCCAAGCTAAAACAAATTCATCTAAATTCATAACTAACTAACATCGATCATACCATAATTAATCTAAATATCTCTAACTACTTATATTCGCCACTAGCAGTAATTCAGTAAATACATACATATAACTACTAAAACATCAAAATTTGAACAATACGAATTATATCATACCTAAAAATTGGAGTTTCTATAACCGTAGTTGCTGGAAGCAGGCTGAGAAGAATGGCTATTTTTGCATAAATTTGACACAAATGGGGGGAGAGGCTACGAAATGGTTTTTTCAGCAACAGCTACGTCGGAGGGGGTATTTATTTGACAAACAGAGGGTATTCACCATCTTTGACTAAAGCAGTGAAGGAGTTCACCACGTTTCTCTCAAGCGGTGAAGGTTAGGTGGTTGTAACCTAATTTTTCACCTACGAGAGGCAGGAAACGAGAGAAATGTTCACCGCTTTAACCTAGAGGGGGTAACCATCCCCGCTTTAGACCAAGGCGATGAAGTGTTCCCCTCTTTGAAAAAAGCGGTTAAGAGTGGGAATTAAACGGCGTTAATTTCACCGCTTTCCTCTGAAGCGATAAAGTTCTTTATTGCGTTTGACAATAACGGGGAATGTCAAACATGTATATTTTGTGAATTTTTTATAACTAATATATTTTAAGAATTGTTTTTAACAATATGTGTATTTTGAGATTTTTTCCTGCTTTTCCTTCTCTTTTTCTTTGGCGGAATTCCATTCCTCACCGCAGCTTGCTTTCACTGTGCCGTTTGCATTAATAATAATTACCCCAAAATAGTAACACTTAACCACCAATTAATCATGTCATCAACATTCTGACCTCACCGGAACCATACAATGGAAGATACCAGGACTCATGAGACAGGTTCAGAGACTACTACAACAAAATTGGGAGGTTACTATATCTCACACGTTTAGGGCAGGCAACAAGTCAGCAGATTATCTAGCAAACAAGGGTCACTCTCTTGATATAGGAGTTCATATCATTGATAAGCAAGATTCGGGGCTTAATTTTTGGCTCATGTATGATAATATGGGCATTGCCCAAACTCGTTTAATTTAAGTGCCAGACAGGGACGCCCTTTTAGCGTCCACTCTTTTACAAAAAAATCATGTCATCCCAATCCACACGTCATTCCCACTTTGCCTTCTTAAATTGCCTCTTCCACAAATAATTAACCACCCACTAATTTACTGCCATGCAAAGTCTTCATCACGTGAGGACAATTTGATATATTTGTCCAAAGTAAATAGACCTCCACAGCTCCATGTTTATGGAATGGACACGCGCATTAATTTTGTGACGTGCTAGCAGGCGGCAGCAGCTATGAGTTATAGTTTTTCAATAAAAAGTGCTCATAATTATTTTAAGTTGTCCAATTTGAATATTCATTTTTGAACTACGGGAATTAAATATCGCGCTAGTCGATATCACATAAAAAAACTATAAAAAGTGTTTTTTAATGTAAGAGGTTATGTCAAATGACTATAAATGATTTATAATATAAAATATGAATAAAATTGGTAAACAATAAAAAGTAGTAAATATGAATCTTGTTAGAATTCTTTTATACTAAATAATATGATTTTATAATTTATTTTATTTTTAAAATGATATAATGAATTAAAGCTATATTTTCCGAAATAAAATTAAAATATGGTAAGGATAATCTTGTATTTTGAAAACAGTTTTTCGCAGAAGCTCCAAATCGGAGCTTCCGCTTTTATATTATACAAAAACACTTTTCAAATTTTCAAAAGCTGAGCTTTTAGACGTGTTTGGCCCTACTTAAACTTTTGAAACCGAAAAGTACTTATAAAAGCTAAGCCAAACATAGGTATAATCTAGCTTCTACTTGCTTTACAAAAGTTTAGTGGCGAAAATTATATAAGGATGTCCTCAAGTAATATAATAATTTATAACAAAAGTCATTTTAGTCCATATAAAATAACTCATCGTTCTTAACAAAATAATAATAATACTCAATATTCCGTAGAATAAAAGAATCAGAAAAGTGACCAAACTCTTTATCATAAAATCGTGTGTTATAACAACAAATGAAGTGTAACAAAATTAAAAAACATGTTTACTAATAACTACATTGTCATAGATTTGAATCTTGTCATCTACCATTTTCCCCCTCTTTTTTCCATGCCCAAACTACTATCTGTCGGGAATTCGTGAATTTTCCCCTAAAATTGAGGGGGTGTCCTACCTTAGACCCAACTCGAAACTGAATCACTATTCGTCGTCCTCAAATTCAAATTTTATCATCCTAAAATACATTAAATTGACATATTTACCCCTCAACAACATTTACATCCTAATATCCTAAACCAAACAATTGCCAAGAAACTAATTTGCTTTATTTTTCTGGGGCCATGAAAGTAGTTGGCGGTACCCTTTTGGGCGGCGGAATCAAGTAGTTCAGCTCTTTCCCTTTCTTAGGACAATGCTGCTCAAATTTCTCCCCTCTCTCCCTAGATTTCAACTTCTTGATTGCCTCTACATTGTCCAAACACGGAATATACTGTCTCGTGCTCTCAAGACACAACTCATATCTCTTAACCTTAACCTTAACCCTCAATATCAATTTCATTCCCCCAATTCTCCACAACCTCTAGATCCACCTCGCCAACTTCAAAATCATCTCACATCTTCCCATCCCCATCAATAATCCCAAACATGTTATCCAATTCCGCCACCGGAGGCGGAGGAGGCTGCTCCATAGCCACTGAATCACTCCCCGATGACGTGGAATCCGGAGGCACGAGCAATTGAGTAGGTTTAGACTTGAGTACGACATCGGTCTGGGCAATCAAAGCATTGACATGAAACAAATTATCATTGTAAATAGCAACGAAAATAAAGGATAGACTTTGATTTATGTGGTTCTTCCTCACCTTGTGTGAGGCTTACATCCACAGGAAGAGAGATTGATTATTATTGATGGTTACGGCTTATAAGAGAGCAAGTCGTTTTATACCCTAATACACAATCATCTAGGATTACAGTGAAAAATTCTATGTAGTGGGGACTTGGAGTTCGCTGCTCCTCCACCTACGCTGCATGAATGATCGACGATGTGGGCTCTCTCTTCAAGGGCTCGTCACGATCATCATTGCCCACACCTGGGTCCAATACTCCCCTTCAAGTTGGAGCGCAAAGATCGCAAATGGATAGCTCGAAGAGTAAGAACGGAATCGATCAGCACCAAGCCCTTTGGTAAGAAGATTGGCCAGCTGAAGTGCAGAATTGAACTTGACAGGCTGAATATGACCAGACCGAACTCGTTCTCTAACAAGGTAACAATCCATCTCCACGTGTTTAGTACGCTCATGGAAAACCTGATTGTTGGAAATATGAAGAACTGCTTGGTTGTCACAGTGTAACGAAGTAGAAGCAGACAGCGAGACACTGAGCTCCCGAAGAAGCCGCCAAAGCCAGATAATCTCACTGACAGTACTAGTCATGGCTCGATATTCAACTTGTGCAGAGGAACGAGAGACCACCTTTTATTTCTTCATACTCCATGAAATGGGGGCAACACCAAGGCTGATAAATTATCCTGTATTAGACTGTCTGGTACGCTGACAACCACCCTAGTCTGCGTCGCAGGGGGTTGTCCTTGGGAAAGAAGAGACATTGCCTAGGAGCGGCCTTTAGATAGCGAAGCACACGATATGCAGCATCCAAGTGTATCTGGCTTGGAGCATGAACAAATTGACTAAGAACGTTGACTGCATAGGTGATGTCAGGACGAGTAATAGTTAAGTAAAGCAGCCGACCAACCAATCATCGATAAAGAGAGGGATCATGAAGAACCTCATCATTAGGACGAGTGAGTTGATGATTCTGCTCCATTGGAAAAATAATGGGAAGAGAAGCCTGAACACCAGCGTCCTCGAGGATATCCAAAACATATTTTCTGTGATTGAGAATGAAACCAGTAGAAATGCGAGCAATCTCGATCCTTAAGAAGTAACGAAGTTGATCCAGATCTTTGATGCTGAAGTGATCATCGAGAAAACGCTTGACTCAGTTGATAAAAGCCAAGTCATTTCCTGCCAAGAGCACATCATCGACGTAGATGAGAGTTGGAACAAAAGTTCTTTCCCTCTTGTAAACAAATAGAGAAGCATCCGCAGGTGCTAACCGAAATCTGAGCTCCTGCAAGACGAGAGTGAACTTTTGGTACCAATTGCGAGAGGCTTGCTTAAGTCCATAGATCGACTTTAGTAGGCGACACAAACGATTATCACCAGGCTGTGAAAAACCTTGAGGTATAGTCATATAGACCTCCCTTTCATGATCACCATGGTGGAAAGTGTTTTTGACATCCATATGATGAAGATGCCATCCTTTGCTAATGACCACCGCAATGAGACAGCGAACGGTGACCAACTTGGCCACAAGAGCAAAAGTGTCATGAAAATCTAGACCTTCGATGTGAGTGTAGCCTTTAGCTACCAACCGAGTCCTGAAACGCTCAATAGTTCCATCCGGATAATACTGTTAGAAACTAAAGGTTTAGGTACCTTTATGTAATTTGTCTTGTACATATTAGGGTTTCGGGTAGAAGGATATTTAAGCCTAAGAGTAGCCGAATGGAGACTGGTACTGTGGATTTGTGAACTTCACACAATAAGAGATAAATCGCCTTGTGCCGTGGACTAGTCTCAACGTTCTAACGTTGGGGAAACCACGTAAATCCTGTGTTTTGTGTTGATTCTCGTTCGTATTTCGGTTATGTTTGACATGGTATCAGAGCTTGTCTGATAATTTTCGTGGGCTGCTCAAGGTTGTCTTGGCTGCGAACGTCATTGCCGCGATAGGGTTTTCTTTTATTTGCTGCGGACGTTGTTGCTGGGTTAAGGGTTTTCTTCTTTGGCTTGGTTTTGGACTTCAAGTTTCTCCTGTGTGTTTGTG